GAATAGCTTTGATATAATCCAGTGGTCTTTACAGATTATGCTACGATATAAGATATATATATATATATATATATATATATATATATATATATATGTTCTACAACTCTCTTGCTATAGAAAGATTTGTTGGACAGAGTATTTGAACCATTGTAAAACTTATCCATACACTAATCTTACAAAGATTAAAAATGAAACGACTTTTTTTTGAAAAATTTCCTTTCTTGTTTGTTTTGTGTGGTAGGATGTATATACTTTTTTTCAACAAAAGGATAAAATCGATTGTAAAGACAGATTTCATCCAATTGCTAAACTAAATGAATTGTTGAAAATGATGGTCAGTCGGTCGGTCGGTCGGTTTTCGATATATAAAAGTCGCCACACTCCCTTCATGTAGCACACAAAGCAAGAGAAGAAAGTAGAAGAAATGCATATTAGAGACAGTAGACAGGGATATGAGACAAAAGGAATAGTAATATCGAAGAACAATATAGTTTCATTGGAAATCATAAGTCACAAGGAGTGGAAGCATCTGCGTCAGCCATTGAGAACGATTTTGAGCCATGTCACCGATTGTATCTAACCATTGGGTTTTACCGTCCCGAGGACCCCAACCAGGAAGTCTACACCTCCCTACGTGCTGGTCGGCTTAGACTAACTGTTGTGGATTGCATTGACTGATGAAGCCATGTTTTGATTTGACCACCGCTAGCTCTTTTCCAGCCTGACCCTATATCAGCTAACATTGCCCATTATCGAGGAAGGCGATGACTAGGCATACGTAACACATGTCCTAACCATCTCAGTCGATGGTCTCGTCGATTGATTTCCCCGCCTTACCTAGCACTCGACCGAGACCTAACCTCAATATTGCTCACCTTATTATACCACTTCACACGGGAGATAGAACGCAGACACCTATGATCAAAGATAGGTAATCTTTTGATGTCTTCCACTCTCAGTGGTCAGGTCTCACAGCCATAAAGGAGGACGGAGCGGACTGCTGAGCAGTACACACGCCCTTTGCTCGATAGTCGGATATCACGTCTACGCGAAACTAGCCCTCTGTATTCGTGCTGAGATTTCGTCGGATATCAGCCCGTTGGGGCTGATGGTACTTCCCAAGTAAGTGAAGCGGTCAACGTGCTCCACCACTTCACTCCCTATTTCTAATCTAGGGGTCGGTGTAGTCCAATCCTGCAGCATCCTCTTACATTTTACAGGGGCGAATCGCATGCCAAACATACGAAGATTGTTGCACAGGGTGTTCAGTAGACTCTGCATTTTGTCAGAGTCCTCGCCTAGAAGGACTATATCGTTCGCATATTGTAAGGCAACGAGATTATTCCCTGGTAGCAAGTCAATCCCTGAGTCTCTGAAATGAGTTAGGGTTAAGTCGATTAGTACATCTATGATGAAATTGAATAGAAATGTGGATAATGGGCATCCTTGACGGACGCCACTAGTCGTCACCACTTCAGATGACAACTCGCCGTAAGCCCTCACCTGGCTGTATGAGTACAAGTAGAGTGCCTTAATCAGTGCAATGTATTTTCTCGGCATTCCATTTACAGCCAAGCATCGCCAGAGAACCTCTCGGTCGACAGAATTGAATGCCGCCTTTAGGTCAAGAAATAGAAGGATTGTTGGACGCCGGTAGGAATGATGGCGAACACTGGAGAAGTATCTTGTTCACTCGTCTGGTAGTCCTGATTCTCTGAGTTGCTGTTTTTGAGGATGGGGTTGATAGTCTCAATAACCAATGTTTCCTCTTCTCCTGGTTTACTAGTGTCTAGTAATTATAGAGAGGTTTAGGAGTTAGGAGGATGGGAACTGAACTCGGACCATGTACGTGTCTGGAACACAAGGTGGGATAATAATGCGATTCATAACTTTTCAAACGTAATATTGATGTGTAGAGGAATAATTGCTCGAGATATCCCTCATGGAAGATGACTTTCAGTTAACTTTGTAATTAGAAGTTAACTGGTGATGTCCTATTTGGCACTCATCAGCTGGATGTGCCTGCATTCTGCAGTGAGTGATAATGTCCCCATCGAGGCTCGAACCTAGTGCCCATAGTCTTAAATGCCAAAACGCTATCCACTAGACCACTTGGGCCACGAGAGCCAGCCACCTTTTCTTGTGCAACGGATCATATTAATTATTCAAATGAATTTTAGACTTTCCTGTCGATTGCTTTGACAAAAAGCCGATATGTCGACCTGAGATCGAGCACTTCGGTCCAAGCAATCGACGGGAAAAATCTAAAATTTAATTCAATAACTTTGTAATTACTAGCGCCCTTTTTACTAGACATTATATCATTGTTCTGACGTTCTCATGTCATATGTTGGTTGACTTGATCCTTATTATTTGTCTTCGTTACTGTTTAATCTCTGATTTTAATACTTTTGTTTGTGATTCTGTGATGGATGATACTGATAGTGTGTTGTTTGCCAAATGCGATTTTGTTTGGATGAATAAAGGTCATTCTGACATTGGAGTGTCAGCGGGAATTGTTGTTGAGAGAAATTCGATCCCACCTTATTGACAATATTCTGCTCCATTTTACGATACTTCTTACGACTGAATTTCGGTTAACTAATTTTGTTCTGCATTACTTGGTTTGTACTTGAGAGTTCTCTTGACTGTTGTATTTCTGCCTAATGTCCGTGTTGAAGTAATTTTGACACTTTGATGTTATTGTTGAACAGAACTAGATAGATCTGATGACGAATAACCGTGCTACTTTCCCCATATTTGAGGCGCTCTGTGACTGCGTGTGTCTCAAGGAAGTTTTGTTCAGTTATGCAGTAGGACGCAAAGAAAGATTTTCTGAGGTCAGACAACAACCAGACAATTTTGGCTGTAACATTATTTTGTCAGGTTTTAGTGATGGATTTAACTCATTCCGAAGTGAATTTCCGTTGGAATGGGAATCAGCTGCCAGATCTTTCAGAACTATGAAAATATTCACATCCACACTACTAATGAATGAATAACTTGTAACTATTATTTCTGAAAGAATTTCCAACCGCTCCAACAGTCAAATGCTATCAGTGAACTCTCTTATTCTGCATTTTAAGCAAATACTTGTCGTCAGTGTTTGGTGGTTCCTCAGAGGAACTGATTTTCTTGTACCGAGGATACCTCCTGGTGTAATTGGTTTACAGAACAGATTATTTCTGGTGATCCTTGATTTTCACCGATTTTATTTTCCTGATTAGTATTGGTGATGAAATCTAACTTGGCTCCAGTTAAATTTTAACCAGTGAAACAAATTATTAATTTGTTAATCCTTACTATTTGATATTTGTTATTCAGCAGTTTTGTTTTCAACAAGAAATAACGTGCACATCTTCGAGCATATAACCGTAAAAGCTACGCTTAGTATTTTGTAACTATGTCTTACTGTTGATAAAAACATTTATTGACACTCTTAGGGGCAGTAAATGTTGGAGAACTAAGATCTATAACTTTCTGAAGTGTCAAGAAAACATCTCACCAAATGCTGAATCAAAATTACTCTCACAATCAAACATCACAGTCCCAGTTATCCTTCAACGCCATTTGAACCCTAATTAGTTGATCAATAATGGTCTATAACATACGAGTATGGGTGTAGCAGGTCGGCTGTGAGAACAAATACTCCCCGTGGACATTGGCTAATGGTTGCGCCATATCATGATTGCCAGAATTTGGAATTCACGGACTACTGGATCGGGTCTCAGTGGATTAATGGTCTGCGAGCTAGCTTGCCCTTGTAACCAGAAGGTCCTAGGTTCGAAACCCTTGTGATGGGTGCGTACTGATGAAGAGTTTCAAACTAGGTTGATGAAACAGCTGTCCAGGACTCCCTTCAGGTTTTCCAGCGGTTCTTTTACCGATGTCAGTCCATGATGAAATCAAATCCTTGCAAACCAACACTTGAAGATAATTTTAGATCAAAGAGTATTTTTTGACATATTTCTGTTCTTTCTTAAAATTACTCAGAACAATATTACTCAATACACAGCTTTAATCATACTGCAATCATCTAAAGAATCAAACAGACTCACTTTATATTCTTTTATTTGATGAGGATTAATATCCGAATCCAGGATGTGCATTTAATCATATCTAAGACTCGTCATCTGGATTTACCTTCAATCCCACTAAGACTCAGACGCTGCACTCAACGTTTCAAACTTCATTGGGCCCAGAAAAAGCCCACTCTTGTGCAATAAGTAAATGCAAATGACAAGTCCCAAACAGGACAAAATTGCCCTTCCTGGATTTCGCCGCTAGTCACCATCATCTAGAATGATATCACATTATTTTTATAGGCATCTTCAAAGTGTCCCTACTAGGTGTCATCGTGTCCAAAGAATCCAGTTGAACTTTATTCTAACATAATCAATTAACGGGAAATGCAAATTAAGCTTGAGAATAAATAAGGAGTAGGAGACATTCTAAAGCGTTTTTGTAGATCACATAGATATGTCTGGGATGTTATGGCATACGATGACATCAGTGGAGCTTCACTCATCTAACGATTTCAGTGGTAATAACAGCATGCAATGCCATATCATTTTTAAATGTATTTTAAGTCGTTTTGTTGACGAAATTCTGTTTACTTTCGCAATTTTACTCAAACAGACGTAGTTTTACTGCTGAGCCGACTGCTCAACAAATATGTAGGAGGAAATGGAGATGGATGGATCGGGTATACGGCACTGAGAAGGCCCTCGAATGACATCACGCTCAGTGAAGGCCATCGGTCGAATGGGAAGCGACTAGTAGGTCGTGAGTGTGAAGGTGACATAGAGGAGGTGAGAGATTATGGTCAATCGGGGACCAGCCAGTTGAAGAGGACAGCAGAGAATTGAACAATATGAAGATGTGCTGCTGAAGCCTTATTTTCCACTCGGAACCCAAAGGAATAATAATAATAATTACATAGACGTATTTAAAAATTAAAGAAAAAAAATCAACACCCATCTTTATAATTAAACACTTACCTTTTAAAAGAAATCTTTGTTTAGCAATGCCTAAAGCGTTCTCTGCATAACACCAATACTCTCCAGTATCAATCAATATTAAATTGTGTATTTCCAGTATGGATTCCACATGTCCCAGTGAACGTCTAGACGAAAATTCAACATTCAGTGTTTATTTTTTGGAAGGTAAATAAAAATAATAATAATAAAGGAAATAAAATGCGCTATATATATATGTATCTATAATCTGTAATATTTTGAACTGATGTCGATAAAATGTCACTTATAGATTATTATGCCTACTACTACTACCTACCATTGATACAATGTGTAATACAGAAGGCAGGATAGAAGACCAACGGTCTAATCCTTTTGGTCATTCTGTTTCGCAAACACATACACACACACCAAACCCACGGGGATACAAAGTGAATACTCCACGTCTATCTAACTGTTTACATTTTGAGGAGGAGTAGGAGAAGAGCTCTGTCACTCGGGAATACACAGATGATTGGTTCTTAAAGACGGATTAAACATATTCTAATAGGAAGAAAAAACTTTGACTTTTAATTCTTAATTTAAAAATAACCCTAATATGCAAATAATGAAAAGGGGTATCAGATATATGCAGTTTTTCGGATGTCAGGGTGTGTGTATGACAGAAATAAAGAGAGAGAGAGAAAAAGACAGCGCCTGAGTGTTTCGTCTTCAAAATAACCCTAAACACGAAGAAGATTAAAGACCACACGCACTATATAATCACACACACACACACACTCAGTTGTTAGTTTCCTACCTACTATTAACTAGTTCGAATTTTTTCCATCCTCAAGAAATAAACTATTCGAATGAAAGGTAAGTAAATATGCCGATGTGTAATGTGTATGGTATAGCAGACGAGAATATCCCTGAAGAAAAAACTGACTAATTGAACACTAACTGGCCAGCTAAACAGAGTAAATGCATCATCATCGCCATCAAGTGACATTGTATTTTGTTTTTCGTTTTCTCTTCGTGATAAGTGTTTTTATTCCGTGTTTTGAAACTAAACGCTTGACAATTAATTGAATGCGCCTCATTACACTGTGACAACTGCTCAATAAGCTCTGTATATTTAGGCAATAACATACTACTGATGATTAATAGGTAGTGGATTTTATTACTTTGGAAATAATATGAAAAATATCGGTATTAGAATTGATCTCTATTATTATTGTTATTATTATAATCGCGATATAGATCGATTTAGACCACAGACTGATATTGGTTAGAGAACCACTGAAAACTAACCAGGGAGTACTGGACAGCTGTTTCGTCGGCCTAGTTTGCGACTCATTGGTAGTACACACCCACCACCGGGATTCCAACCCAGGACCTTCTGGTAACAAGGCCAGCTAGCTCGTATACCATTCAGTCACTGAGATCCAATTCAGTGGCCAACACATTAATTCTAACTTCTATCGATTCATGATTTTAGCGTGACATCGGCGGGAAATCAATCCTCACTCCCGACTAGATGCACCACACTGGTCCCGACTTCTCATTAGAATTCAAGGCAACTGCATCTCATAGCCCGTCACTAGCGGAAGACAGTGGGTTCAAAATCCAATGGGGGCGTATTGCCTGTAAATCCCAAACTAGGACGAAATTGATACCCAGTACTCCATGGTTCTCAGTGGTTCTCTAACTGATATCAATCCGTAGTCTAACACGAAGTAACAATATTTGTCACCTGTTGGTTTGTAGGGATTTGATTGTTTACACGTATGGTTACCAGCTGATATCAGTAAGCGGATAGTTAACCAGAATCTGTCGTGGTTAAAAGTGACTTTCTCACTGGGATTAAAACTTAAAAAGTGTCTTTCACCTAAACTATTGAATATCTCCCACGCAAGTGTTGACTTACGGAAACCACCTTTCACACTTCTAAGGATGGAACTGATCCCTTGGTATATATACTTTTGCCTTTTACTATGGCCACTTGTATAATAATTACTTGTTTCCAGGCTGTTTTTTTATTCCTTTACGTTCCCCCAGTGAAACATAGTGAGCTTCAAGCTAGAGACTGGAAGTTTCAGTAGCAGCAGTGTTTAGTTCTACAGGGTGGGGTTGCTAGCCTCATGGCCAACCTTCCCTTTTTACCAGTCTTACTGCTTGCTTAGCAAGGTAAAGGAGTGCACCGGTGGCTGGGGATTGAACCCTGAACCCCATGCGTTGTCGGCGAGTACTCTACCGCTATGCCACCAATGCACTGTTTCTAGATGCTTCTTATTTACTCAGCAGAACTTAAAAGGCTTTATAATGAGTGTATAAAAGGTATCGCAGACATCCATGAATTTTGTTTGAATTCACAATCTTCTCGATCATGTATATTATTGTTGCATAAAGCTTAATCGGTTCAAAATAGTTTGACTTACTCAAATGTTTCCACACTTATACTTTTATCCGCTAAATTCAATGACTTTCCATCACGAATCCAAATAATCTTTGGTGTAGGCATACCAGTTGCAATACAACTGACAGTCATTCCATAACCATATTCTAGTATTTGATTAGGTATTGACTCAATCATTGGTTTAACTAAATAGAAGAAGAATTTAAAAAAATGAAAACAAATGAATGAGTTAGTTAGACAGATAAAGTTTAAATGACCTTTGACACACAAGTTTTACAGAGCATGAAATTACTTCAATATATGACTTCATTTCTCTCAAGTCTGTTTGGAAGTCAACAGCAATCAGCATGAAAATGAAAATGACATCCGGATTTTCAACTCCAATGCGAAGTCACTGCTACTTACTATACGGATCAGAGACTTGGCGCGTCATGAAGAGCACCTCAAACAAAATACAGACCTTCATCAACAGTTGTCTTCACTCAATACTCAAGATTAGATGACCGGCCAGAAAAGATCAGCAACAGGGATCTCTGGCAGTGAACGAACCAACCCAGCAGAACCGACTGTGAAACAAATAAGCAGGAAGAAATGGATCAAGTGACATCAAATGGCAGGCCACACCTCGAGTGGAACCCGGAAGGGAAGCGACGAGTTGGTCGTCAGTGCAAGACGTGGAGCCAGGTGAAAACGTTGGTGGAGAACCGGATGCAATGGAGACGTGCGGCTAAAGCTCTATGTTTCTCTAGGAACTAAAGGAAACAATAATAATGATGATAAAATAAATAATAAAAATATTATCCTCCTTGGAGAGTAGAAAAAGCAGTTAAATATGCCTTGATACTTGAATATTTTTAGTTTAAGACACGCTAACAACAACAAGGCATGCTTTCTCAAACAAATATGTAATAATAGGGTTTGTATAACTAAGCGCTTCTACATGGTTCAAAGACTGTGCTGGCGTCAAACAGGCTACTTCAGTCTTTCATCAACAACTGCCTTCATTCAATGCTGAATTTCAAATGGCTGGTCAAAAAAAAAACAAGTAAGAAGGGCACTGTAACAACGAATTAGTCAAAAAAATTGTCGACTGTACATATTATGAAGAGACTAACAAGTGAAGTCACGCTCCACGTCCCCGATTGAAACCTGAATGAGAAGTGTCTAGTTGAGTGTTGATTTGACGGTGATATGGAGTAGATCGTATAAGGAGGGAATGAAGGCCTATGAGCAATTGTTAGGTCGGTTGGAAAACACTTCAGAGAACAGGTCAAAGTGGATATATTGAAATTAGTGGTGTTCTCTGAGCTGCTTGGTTTAATTGCGAAGCTTTCGTCGTCCTTCTGGACAAAATTTTCAGAACAAGTTTTAGCTCAAAAATGAACTGATTTAAATTCTCTTGATGAATGATAGAACTGAGTCTCCTGATAACCACCTTTTGGTGATTAGTAGTCGATTTACGTCTCTACTGATCATTTTTTTACTGGCTTGCAATTTTAACTTTCCCGTCATGTGATTTACTTCCCATTAGCTGGTAAATTTAGTCTATAATGATGTGTCTGTCAATTGCTAGCTGATTCGCCTGAGTACCAAGCTTCTAGAAATTCCCTGGCATTTGTTTGGTGTTTCCTCTGTTTGAAATTTCTATATTCTTCCAATTAAATTGATGTCTGTAATTATTTACATACATTGATATGAGAGAACACATATCATGTCTTTTCACAGCTAATTTGTGTTTCTGGATTCCGATTCGAAGGGACACCCACTTTGGCCAATGTAATGCTTGCTACAGTTCATACAGTTTATTTTGTAAATGGTATTAATTCCATCTTCTTTTTCTGCTTGATCTTTCGGTTCACGCAGTATCGAATGGAGTGATTGAGCTGGTTGGCTTGTGTGCTACATCTATTTCTAACGGTCTCAGTATTCTAGCTGTTATTTCAGAGATATTTTTATATATGGTAGAAAGATAAAATTAATACCATTTACAAAATAAACTATAGGCACTGTAACAGACATTACATCGGTCAAAGTGGGCGTCCTCTTCGAATCAGAATCGAAGAACACAAATTAGCTGTGAAAAGACGTGATATATATTCTTTCATATCGAAGCATGTAGATTATTATGGACATCTTTTTAATTGGAATAATGTCGACATTTGAAGTACAGGAAACACCAAAAGTGCCAGAGAATTCCTAGAAGCCTGGTATTCAAGTGAATCAGCGATTAACATACATGTTAATACAGATCAAATTTACCAACTAATAAAAGGTAAATCACGTGACAAGAAAGTTCAAAATCCAAGTCAATAAAAAATGATCAATGCAGATGTACATCGACTAGCAGTCACGACGATGGTTGCCAGGAGACGCAGTTCTGTCATTCATCAAGAGCTAAAACTTGCTCTGAAAATGTTGTCTAGAAGGACGACAAAGGCTTCTCAATTAAACCAACCAGCTCAGAGAACACAATTAATTGCAAATTATCCACCTGAGCTACAAATTTTCCGTAGTATTTCAAAGTGCATATTTACTGTTAAAGCACCGCATATTACACTCGGAACCGAAGAGAAGAACAATAATAATTATTATTATAGATCAATGTGAATACGTAACAAACTTCAAAAATTACATCATCCCAACGACAGCTGTCAAGCCACTTAAATAAGACTCTATGGAATACAGTGAACTGGCAGTAAGCTTCTGAAACTGTATGTTCCATGCAGAAACCAAGGGAGTGGCAATCCTATAATAATACTGTTTATACAGAACACTGTCTCGTAAAAGCAAATTTTAAAATATATTTTAATACACATATGTCATGTGACTGGAAGCAGCTACATATGGTAGGTTATTTTTTCTATTTGAAAATCAAAATTGTGTTCTGAAAGACATGTGAGTAGGAGTTTGGAACATCACTGTGGTGTTCTGTTTTTTTAAAACGAAGATAAAATAAAAGTTTGCTTTTATTTTTCAAAAGTCATAATGAGTGTTACCTTAGACACGCACAGAAAAAGTGTTGTTCTGCATTATTCTATGTCTGTCGCTTCAGTTTTGCGTCACGTTTAATCATTTTAAAGTTTATAAAACATTTATTTCTTTGAACTTTTACAAACTAATTCTCAAGGTTAAAATTTCAGGAATTTGAAAACCTTCATCTGTAAGCAGTGTGTGATTAAATAACTTACTGACACACAAATACATATTTCCGCACAAAAGTTTTTACACACTCATAATAAACAAAATAATTGAGCAAAGAATATCCTTTTTGATAATTTCCTCTTCTGGCTTTACAATTATATATATGCTTATATACACAGAATATTCTAGAATAGTAGTCAATAACAATACTGGTGTTTTTTATAATAATATCGATTTGTTAAGTAAAATCAATGGATTTACAGTTGAGGAAAGATGCTTAAATTATATTTAGCATACAAATATAACAGCAAATAGAATATCAACTAAAATTAAGGAAATTTCTACAAAAAGTTGAGGATCATTAAAACCTTGATGGCCAAGGTAGGGACAGTGTCTGAACCAGCTTCTTTTGGATACATAAATATGTAGTAGACAAACTTTTAAGGTAAAGTTAAGATCAGTTGGTATGCTGTGAATGACTTAGAAAGCCTCGCTGACACTAATCTTATGTTCTGTATCCACAAGATGAGATAGAATAGACCTATGAGTGGATTTTGTTTTTCCTTTACTTAACCACATAGAGTGACGATCGGAAATCCGACGAGAAACACACTCAGTTGTAAGGCCTATGTAACTGGCTCGTGCGTCGGTGGCACAGTGGTTAGGATGCTCGCCGACCATGCACATAATCCGGGGTTCGATCCCCGGCCGACGCACTCCTGTACCTCGCTAAGCCAGAGATAAAGCTGGTAAAGGGGAAAGGTTGGGCATGAGGTTAGCAACCTCATCCTGCAAAATAAACACTGCTAAACACTGCCTCTAGCTCGAAGCCCTATGTTCCATTGGGAACGTAAAGGAATACAAAAAATGTAACTGGCTCACTCCACAGGAGCAGTCAAATTAGTAAATAAACATTGAAGAGGCGAAATTAGGCAGTTTATCTTTAACTCCCGAAAGCGAAATATTGGTGGTTTTGAAGACACAGCGTAATTCAGCAGCAGAGAATGATATTTTTATCGCAATTGTAAGGTGTCATATGGTAATATCTTGCTGATGTTATCCCCGAGGAACTGAATTTGTAAGAATAAGGCCTTTTTAGGAACTGTTGGTACCTTGGGCTGCTTTGGTTTTAGATTCATATTCTTATGAATAAACCTTTCTGGATAACAGTTCTTACTTTATCAACCGTTTAATATTATTAATTAGCCATCAAGACATTCATCAGAGCAGATCGCTCTTGCCTTGCTTAGTTGCTTCTTTTAACAGTATAATGAATGTGATACTCTGGGTTTCAGGAATTAACACTTCGCACTAAAGCTCAAGTTGATTAGTGGACTTCAAGTAAAATGTCATCGCAAACCAGTATCAATAATGAAACAAATTGAAAACGCAAAGTTCTTAGGTCCAGTACCCAGTGGAGTTATTATTGTATAGGGCTAAAGAGTCTAAAATGTAGAAGAAACATCTATATATTACTCCCTAGTTTTCGCCGGTTATCCAATTAATATTCCCTCATGACGAAATGTGACCTGGTATCATTGAATTCAGAGTAAATCAATACTTGAAAATTGATGGATATATTGTTCCCCGTGGTTTCGAATGGAATATACGGCTTTAACAGTATATCTCCATTTAACCCGACTCGCTGCAATATTCTTTAGCTGGATCTGGGATTACCCACCAGATCGCCTCTCCTCCTCATACGACCTCCTCCATGTCACCTACAGATTGACACCCAACTCGTCATTTCCTATTCACATTCTACTCAAGCGATGACCTGGCAAGCAACGTCATTTAACAGTCTCCCCAGAGCGTATCCGTTCCATCTCTATTTTCTTCGGAATACCTTGTTGGGTGATAGGTTCTTCATCGATTCACTCCCGGAGTTTTTCGTTGCTATTCTTTTCTTATCAGCTGGCCATATGACCTTCAGTATGGTGCCAGTGAAAGCCGCTGTTGTTGAAATACCTTATGTGATGCATTCGATAATTGTTTCCACCAATAAAGAAGAAGTCACTGTCTTAACATTGGTGTTGAAAATCTG